TTTTTTTTTATTCTGGGCCAGCTTTAGCTCTGAGGCCTCGGCTGCTGAAAGCAGGTTTCTGGCCTTTGTTTACCTTCTGTATTTGAAACAATGTTGCGGTCCAGCTGGCTGAAGCCTGGCTGATTGAAAGCAGGTTTCTGGGGTTTTGTTTAGCTTCTATATTTATTACAATGTTTCTTAGAGAGCATCTGAGAGGCCAGCAAGGCAGGCGGGGAACCTGGCTTCCTCCGGTCACTGGAGCAAGCAAGCCTCCCTGTTCGCGTCAGCTGCCTGGCTGCCGGCCGCCATCTTGGTTGGCAGTTAATTTGCATATCTCGGTGATTAGCCAATGGGAAGGGTAGCGGCTGTACAGTTAATTACCATGTTCCTCTTTTATTAGATAGGACTAGAGGCCTGGTGCATGAAATTCATGCTTGGGAGGGGGGTTGTCCCTCAGCCTGGCGGCCTGTATCCTCTTGCAGTCCGGAAGCCCTCGGGGGATGTCCGACTGTAGTCCCGCTTCTAAGCAGTCAGACAGACATCTTTAGTGCTGCCACGGAGGCGGGAGTGGCATTTGCCACTGCCACTGTGCTCTCCAGCCATGAGCCCAGCTTCTGGCTGAGCAGCACTCCCCCCTGTGGGAGTGTACTGACCACCAGGGGCAGCTTCTGCATTGAGTGTTTGCCCCCTGGTGGTTGGTGCGCATCATAACAACCAGTTGTTCTGCTGTTTGGTCAATTTGCATATTATCCTTTTATTATATAGGATCCTAGCATTGAGGATAGAGAAGAAACAGGAAGACAGGTTCCTTGCTCAAGTGGAGTTTATATTCTAATGGAGGAAGACAACAACTAATCAAGAAAATGAGTACTCTGAAAAAAACTAGAATATGATGATAAGTGATGACTGGGAGGCAATTCAGGTTGGGTGGTCAGGGAAGGCCTCTTTGAGTAAACAGACTGAAGTTGATATCTGAATGACTGGGAGGGAGCCAGTCACAGGAAGCTCAAAAGAACATTATATTAGAGGGAATACCTAGGGCAACAGTCTTAAGGCAAGGATTTGTAAGCTGAGGTAAAGCTAAGGCAGGAATATGGATATTCTGAGAGCCGTAGCAGAAGTGATGCATGTGCGGGGTGAAGAGTGACATGTAAGGTGGGTGGAAGGCAAGAGTAGATGGAAACTAGTTAGGAAGTAATCTAGAGGAAAAATCATGTGATCTGAAAAGACTAGAGGAAACATGAGCTAGGTAGTAATAGGGATGGAAAAAAGTGGATTGATTTGGAATATATAGAGAATCTACAAGAGTTACTAATGAATTAGATTTAGAAAATGAGGGAAAGAAGAGTCAAGAATGTCTTCTAGGTTTTGGCTTGTGCAACTGGGTAGGTGGTGAAGCCATTTACTGAGATGGGACAACTACATGAAAGACATATTTTGGGAAGAAAACCGAGTTCTGTCTTAGGCATGTTAAATTTGAAATGCCTGTTTGATATCCAAGTAGAAAAATCACAGGCAGATATAGAGACAGATATATATATATACACACATATATATACACTAGAGGCCCGGTGCACAAAAATTTGTGCACTCGGGAGGGGAGGGGGGGTCCCTCATCCCGGCCTGTGCCCTCTCGCAGTCTGGGACCCCTCAGGAGATAACGACCTGCTGGCTTAGGCCTGCTCCTGGGTGGCAGAGGGCAGGCCCAATCCCTAGGTGCAGCCCCTGGTCGGGCTCAGAGCAGGGCCGATTGGGGAGTTGGGGCGCCGCCCCCTGTCATGCACAAAGCAGGGCGTATCGGGAGGTTGCGATGCCACCCCTAGTCACGCTCAGGGTAGGGCCGATTGGGGGATTGGGGCACTGCCCCCTGTCACGCTCAAGGCAGGGTCGATGGGGAGGTTGCAGCGCCGCCCCCTGTCACGCACAGAGCAGGGCCAATCAGGGGGTTGGGGCGCTGCCCCCTGTCACGCACAGAGCAGGGCCAATCAGGGGGTTGGGGCACTGCCCCCTGTCACTCATAGAGCAGGGCCGATCAGGGGGTTGGGGAGCTCCCCCCTATCAGGCACAGAGGAGGGCTGATCAGGGGGTTGGGGTGCCTTCCCCTGTCATGAACAGAG